CTACAAAATAAAAGTTTTATGTCAAAGTCAATAACTTATTGCAAAAGCTGCTCACCTGCCAATTTAAACATATTCCTTTTGAACTACATCATTCATTAATGATGTACATAGTCTCTAGTCTAACTCTGTTAGACCAGTTAGAAGTACAGGATGCAGACTACATTAAAGCTTTACTTTCCAAGCAATAATAATACTAAAAATAAATTTGAATATTTGGAAAAAAAAACACAGGTTACTTTTATTATAAAATTTTTGTTTTCAAATATCCCAGCTCTAGTTAGAGGTCAGAAAAGCATGTTTATCTGACTGGCTTCTATATACTTCAGTTGTCTCCTTGTGAACCCAAGAACTGAATATTGGAGTGTACACAACTACAAAGTAAAAGTGGTCTATCAGGCTTCAACATAACCTAACCAAGGAGAAGGCAATCCCTGAAGTATGAATGCAATATGCACCTGAAGCATCGGAACTGTCTATCTGCTCAAAGTGTCAGGAGTGAAGGGAAATACATATACTTAAGAGTGCAACTGCAACTGAATTGTCACTTCTTTTTAATGTTATATTACATGTTGCCTGAAAAACGTCCATAACACTACACAGTTCATAAAATACTAAATGATTCTAAAAGTACCCTCTCTTCACACTTTCACTTTCCTATACTTTTCCTTTATAGCAGGTAACTTAAGAACATGCCAACCCCAAACATCCATTTCATGCTGGTAAATTGCTAGGAGGAATGTGTTTTGGCTGCTTGGAGCTAAAACACTAATTAAAGAAACAAAATAATTGGAGAAAACAATCACACTGGGTTCTATCTTTGTTATATAACCAGCAGAGTTTCAAATCCCAAATACTCACATAAATATAATGTAATAATACAAAATAATGATATTAAAAAATATAAATAATATATAAAATATAAAATAAAATGACAAAAAATAAAAACATCTTTATAAAATAATATAAAAATATAATTTAAAAATATAAGAATAACTATTAAAATGTGATATAAATGATAACACTCATAATAAATACATGGTTGTAGTAAGACCATCACAATTTAATATATGAACATCATTATGTATTTCCTAGTTTAACATAAGTTATATTTGTATCCAAAGTCAATTGAAATGCTTAAAATGCAAGTCTGTGCAGAACTGGAAGGCAGAGACAGTTCAAATGGGCATTATTTGTTGATTGTAATTCTGTTTGAAAATCCTTTGCTCCAACAGAACGGTAAAATCTTTCTTTAAACTGAAGCAAGTTCCGCTTTGAACCACCAGCAATTTGGCAAGTCAGATGAGCTGGCACATCAGAGCACTTTATTAGTTCATGAAGACCACTAGCTTGTCTGTAAAAATTTGCAAGGGCCTAATGCACTCTGACAAATGACAAAGGTTATTAAAGGACAGCTCGTGGGAGTATAATTGCTTTGTGACTTTATCACTATTAACAGAAAGAATGAACATTGGTAGAGAGTTAACACCATGAAACATGAGTACAGGAATTCACAAAGATCTTGACTCAGCAAAGGACATAAGGTTGTTAATTCCATTCTTGTACAACAAAACAATTATGAATGTGGTTAAGTACACGCTATGTCTCTATCATTTAATCAGAGGATAAAGCAGTCATCTTTTCAGATGCAAAGAAGTGTATACATATACTTTATGTTACAGACTCTACACTACTGCTATGCTGGTAAGTATTTTCTATGAACGGTGAAAGGATTCTTACCAACCTTGCTGTACTTAGTCCTTGTTCTGTCAAGCAAGTTACAGGATAACCGAACATTTATGACAACTCAGTTTTCACAGCTCTGTCCACAACACGTAGGGCCCCAAGAAAAACGTGAGGTTTTTGACAAGCATCAGTTTTCTCAAAAATACTTACCACAGCTGAGGTGTAAATCCATCTGAATTACAAGAATTTAATTGTTTCAAAACAGGAGGAGGAACACCAGACAAAAATCTGTCAAGGTTAAAAGGAGACTGGGGACAGGTTTAGGCCTAACACACATTACATAAAAATCAATCAAGTTGACTTCTCAAGAATTGCAGAATAAGATACATCATACCACTGCTCAAAGTGAGGGGAAATGAGGGACAGGACTTCCAACCGCACAGCAGCACTTACTTTGTACAGAAACGAAGCACTGTACATTAACTCTTAGCTCTCTGCAAAGCACTGATTTCTGGCAAAGTCACTAATGCTTTGCTTAAACAAGCTGGGAATTGAGTAGCCTGAAACCCTTGCCTTGCTCAGAGGCAACACTTCAACCTACCTGTGCGAGGCTCCGGCTTTTGCCTTTGTGGAGACAGCTGCACCTTCCTCTTCTGCACTTCTGCAGTGGCAAAACACTTCTGACAGACTGATCAGAAGCATCTTCTGATGCAAAAGAGAACTCCGAAGTTTAGACACATTTTCTGTATCCCACTATATACCTGCCTTCCTCTCAAAGCAGCATCCATTAGGAAAAAAAAAAAAAAAAAAAAAAAAAAAGAAGCATGTATGGCCCACGAAGAACAGTCCATAACAGGAAACAGAGTTTAGGTACGTACTTTGTACTAAAGTCCCAATCTACAGGACAGAAGTAAACAATAAAATCACAGAACAAGGTATTGCTTGGTATGAATACAGGCATCAGAACTGTCTTGAATTTGTCTGTGCCACAGGGGATTCATTTATTTATTTAAACACAAGACACAGGTTGATACATAAGCAACTACTGTAATCTGTGCTTCTGCTCTTTTCATAAAAGGGATGCATAGGCTTCCCAGAGATGTAACACAGAGCATAACCAGATAACTAAAAATCACTAAGGAAAGATCAAGTGACATTTATTAAGCCCCATTTTTGGACACCTCTAAAATTGTTTCTGTATATTTTGTATTTCACTGGAGTTAAAAAGCTCAAAACTAAAAGAACTTCATAAATTAAATGTTGATGTCCATTTCTGACCCGACTATAAAAGACTTTCACAAGGCTTGCAACGTTTCCCTGTCTAGAAACACTCATACTCAAGCAGTCAATAGACCCCAGGCTTCCCTTCTTCCCCAGTATCACAGCCCAGATACTCAACCAGAGAATTTTTGCTTGTGTCAGTCTAAGACTTACACTGACTCGTTACCTCTTTCCTGCCACTTCCTTAACTAACCCTGACTCAGTTTTATTGCCTGGCACTATCTAAAAAACTAGTCATCTTCTAAGCTTTACCAGTCAGCTTCCTTTTTAGCCCACTGGGGGTTGGAATATAATCTTTATTTTTATTCATCTGCTTTACTACCTGTTGCTGATGCCATCATCCAACCAAATATTGTGACCAGTCTTATTCACGGCATTTGATAGAGAAAGTCATCTAAAGGCCAGTTTAACTAATTAAAGTCAGTTATGGAACAACCAACTTCCGTTGCAGATGAGGATGCTACGGTTCTTCTGCAAATGAAACTTACTGCCTCCAAATAAAGTTTGCAATGAAATATTGTTGGAGCCAGTAAATCAGAACCAATGCTATTCAGTAGCAGCTGGGTATGGCCTCCAGCCACATGGCAGAGATTACTCTTGCATAACAAAAACCCACATGAAGCAGCTATGTTTAAGAACTGAAGATAATTTTAGAACCTTCTTCTGTAGCTAACATCAATATTAAGACCCCTAAAGAATCATAAAACTGGGAAAAGTGGGGGTGGGGTGGAAGCAATAGAGGGAGAAGAATCTGAACCAATACTCCTTCAAGAATGATTCACTGTTTCTTTATTACAACACACCAGAAAAAAAAACAATCTTCCTCGAAACAGATTTGCTTGGGTAATACATGATGTCATCATAAATCATATTTTCCTCTTCTGTAAGTGTCAGCAGTTTTCTTGGACTTCTTTGAAGGTGGAAAAAAAAATGAAGAGCCAGAACCATCTTCCAGCTTTGGCAGAAAAGGGCCCTTTTGTTCCCAAGACATTTGTCTTCACATAATGCACCACCACCCTCCTGTAGGAGTCATGCAATGACAAAGCCTCACGAAGCATTTAAAAAAAGCAAAGCAAATGACAATATAAAACTCCTCTACTATTTCCAAGCATTAATTTCTTTAGCTGTCTTTTTATTTCATCTCTGCTGGAGTAAATACATTTGTTTGCATTTAAAACAAAGATTAATCCAATCTATTCCAGAAAGACATTCAGACCATTGATTAGAAGGATGGCACCGTGTGACAGAAGTCATGAATTGTAAGTAAGCCATATATTAATAACACAGATGAGCATTCCCCCTTCTCTGTTTTTGTCCCTTTTTGGCTTTCATTAAATGGAAGGATGAAATGTTTTTTGTTTCTTCTTAGCCAACTAATTATTTGTTTACAAAGTATAAACTGGTATTTATTCTGATTAAAGTTTCCTACAGCAGTCTCTTTGATTAATGCATGGAAGACACTTTACAGACTATGATGGTTGATGAAGCATTTTTGAGAAATAACAAAAAATAAGACAGTGCCTTTAACATAAAGCTTAAGTTTAATTAACTTTGAGACTTTTATTACTGATAGGACTTATCAATAGAGAAGCTATAATAAATATCACAGTATTTACTTTTCTGCTCCACAGGAACATAAAATACATTTCACTTGTCTGCTTATGCAACATAAAAACTCCCGAGCCTTGTTATTTTAGAGTTCATGACTGTAGCATGCACTTCTTTTTTTGTATTAGACCTATCAGCTGTAACAAGGAGAGAACAGCAACATACTAATTTTCATCCCTCTCCACTCTTCACGTATGCATATACTTTTCCTCAACATGAACTCTTCTGACATATCAAGTGGATAGCAGATGTACCACATACAAAGGATTTGCAATAAGCTTGCATATTTGAGAAGAAGTCCCACAATGATGTATTGAAAGCAGTTAACTGTCCTATTTATTTAAAGAGAAGCCGAAGGTACATTTAGGTGCTGTAGAAACAGACAGTTGGCAGGTACCATGATATCAAGTGAGAGAAGACACCTGGAAACAGAGGAAACATTTCTGCAGTCACAAAGATTAGAACAATTTGCGGGAATAAAGAGGAAGCCAGCAAAACTGTCCCAAACTGGGTCATGCAAAGTGGCAGTCAGGCAGCACAGGAGTGATTTGAGAATGACTGAAAACAGAGCAATCAGAAAGGTTAGCAAAACAGAGCAGCAGCAGAGTTCCCTATATTTACAAGCCAACATACAATCATTACAACATATCAAAAGAGACAAATGAAATACCCACCCTGCGCTCTTCCAAAATCTCAGCATTCTGGTAGGGACAAAGCCTGATAGAACTGATGTTTAGAACAGAACCATTTATCTGCAAGTCCCAAGCTATTAGAAAAATATACGTAACAGAGTAAAGCAAGTTCTGCAAACTATTTAAACTTCAGTTTGTTCTTTTTTTATGCCTACAGTTTTGATTTTGAAGGCTTCTCAGGCCTTAGATCTCATTGGTCAAACATCCAAAGAAAGATAAAAAACACACAGGGTTAATCTGAAAGGGATCTTCCATTGAGAAAAAGAACAATAAATACAGCCTAATATAAGCTTTGTAAAACAAAGTTATGTAGAGATATTCTGTGACTTGTGATCAATGATGAGTTTTAGACTTGTACTAGACAAGATTAAATCAGAGTAAGAAACATTGCTGCTCATACCATGAAGCTGTTATTTACATCTTTTGCAATTATTAAATATCATGTACATCCATGCTTGGTTTGGAGGATTCCTAAGGAATCATAAGACACTTTCCACACCAAAAATAAATAAAATCCCTGAAAAAAAGGGTCACGGGAAATTTTTCCTGAAATTTGCCATTCTAGACAATTTTAACAATTCTGAAAGTGACAGTCGGTAGAATGTCCTTACCCATTTCTCCAGAACAGCTATACTCAACTTTATTGAAATTTCATCTTCAAGATTAGTTTTCTCTTCCAGAAGGCACACTTCCAATACCCTTTTCAAATGTTCCTGTTATTCTGCCCTATATTTCAGAAATACGTAACATGCTCAGATTTTTTTGATAATTTCAGTTTAAAACATTTTTGAGATCCATAAGGATAAAACAGTTAAAGGATGTCTGGGAGTATTATGCAGGAAGAAAAAAAAAAAAAAAAAGCTAAATCACAGAAGGAAAAACAGATTCCAAGCTGAGAAACTAAAACAAAGCAAAATTAGTATAAGCAATCTGGGGACTTGCTTTAAACAAGAAGGATATTTATTCCTCCAAAATTCCCTTGTCTAGGCAGCTATCAAGATGTGGACAATGATCTTATTTAAAGTATTCTAAGCATATTTGAAAACTATTTTGTTTCTTACATTGCTTGCACACACATGCAAATGTAACATTAGAAGCTTGTAATGTTTTCACAAAAACAGTGAGCATTCAAACACTTCTGTACTACCAAACAAATGCCTTCAAAGGTTATTATCCCAACAGTTAGAAGGTAAGCTCAGAGTTGCAAACATCAGCAGACAGATTTAATGAGTATGTATGAGAATGTTGCGTAGGGAAGGAGTAAAAGAGTAAGAGATTGGAAGACACAAAACTATTTTGGAGCACTACAACAAAGTATCCCAATACTTGGAAAAAAATAAATAAAAAGAATTAAAAGGTCCCCCCTCAAAAACCTAAAATAATAGAAAAAAAAAAAACAAAACATTCACAGAGCAAGCAAAGCAGAACTCAGAAGAATTTGAGTCCAGAATTTAGTCTTCACTAATTTAACAAGAGACAGTGCAAAATCATGGCTTCCACCTTAAGAATGACCCAATCATTCTACAGAATAATAATGGCTATAGGTAATTTGCTATTGAAATAGTTTTAAGAGTATCCAACTGACATAGATGGCTAAATCCCAAGGACTTTCAAGAAAAAAGGTAATGCTAAACAACAGAAGCAAAAATTAAAACACTGTTTACACACTGATTGCAAAGGGTGAAAAAAAAAAAGTGAATTACAGATATTAGAGCAGTATTGTATTTCATCAAGCAAATTTTTGTATTGTAACCTCAGACTTTTTTTTGTCCTTAGGTGAAATATTATCTGAAGAAAAAAAGAAACACTCAAACCAGTATAACTGAAGTTTTTATTGGTCGCATGGGATGCCTGCTGCCACGCACCAGATGTGTGTAGGAAAAAAAGTGGTCAACATATGATATTAAAAAACGGTGCAGTTTCAAATATTTTAAACATGATGTCAAGTGCATTCAACAGGTCTACAAATGCATTACATTAGCCTAAATTTAGTAGGTGATAATTGAAATCAGAGATCTAGTCGTTACCACTGACATGTTTCTAAATACTACCCAATAAATTTTTGTCTGTTTCAGATTCTGTATGACAGCTGGCAGTTGGGAGGGGGAAATCGCCAAGAGGGTATGCACACACACATGTATCACATTTTTATATTTAAATTCTAGTATCCTCCCTTTCTAGAGTTAATGTAGCAGTGACAATACTGTCATACAAGCACATACTTCCATAATCGAATTCTAAAAGCTGATTTTTTTCTGTAGGCTTTACCTGGCATTTTGCAGAAAGCACAAGGTATAGGACAGGATAGTATCCTATCACTCTACCATTGTATTTCCCACACATCAATTTTCACAATGAAATTCATTCACTTATTTTACAGAAATGACATCTGTTCTTCCTAGTTATCTTCACTGAAAATATATTTCTTTCCTAACTAAAAAAGAAAATCCATCAACGGTCTCAGTCTACATTGTTTTTGTTACTGTGCCTTTGTGTTTTTGGTTTTTATAATTATGTAACATTCAGTTAGGAGGGAACAAATATGAGTAAAAAAACAATCTGCCTGAAGGCAAAAAACATACCTCCATGTCTACAATGACTTTAAATCCTAACCTTCTCTTCAGTCTCAGATGGATCATCAACCTTGTTGATATACCTGCTATCAGGTAATATCAAGTGTAGCTATGTAGCACATGAAAATAAACTACTTCCAGGAGCACTACAGAAACAGTGTGTGGACAGGTGTCACCCACCCCTCCTGATGACACGTGGGAGTGTTTTATGCAAGTTGGTATGAAGGGCTGAAAGTGACACTTGCCTTCTACAGTTAACCAACAAGGCTTCCTCACCTCTCAGTTGTGCCCTCTGTAAAATGGCAGGTGTTACCTTTCCAATTCTCAAAGGAAAATGAAAAAACATTGCTAAAAACCATGACTGAGAAGACATGCCTGGCATTTCACATACCACCAACTGTTTTTGACTGGAAATTTAAGCATTTAGTTAGAACCAGCTAAGGCTGGAAACGGAAAAACAAGGCTTTCACTAATAAAAAGTTGTTGTTCAATTAAGGCATGTAAGCCTTTGTATACAAACAACAAATGCTCCTTAAGTTTCATCAGTTGTAGTCCTTTAAAATGACCTCTAGCAACATAAATTCTAAAGGACTTGAAATAAACTTCTTTTTAAAATAGGTTTTTAAAGACACAAACCACCTTCCCTCTTAATTTTTTGAAAGGGATCTCCTTAAAAAGCCACAATATTTCTATCCAATGTGTTAAAATGAAAGGAAGCTTTATGCTAGTCATTCTTGGCTTTAGACACCAAAGACCCATAAAATTACTAGCACCCATTAGAACTATTTAATTTTATTTCAATTCTTGAGACCAGCAACAAAAACTGCAATCAACATTAACCACAGACTCCAGTAAAACAGCTTGGAGGCTCCTTGGAGATAAACACAGTTACCAAAGACAAACAAAATTAGAGAGTTCCACATTTGATGGTGGGGAGGGAAAAACATCAATTGGACTTTTTTTCTACTGCTCAAATATTTGCTGGAAGCAAGTTCTTTAAAAAAAAAAAAAAAAAAAAAAAAAAAAGACAAATCCTACAAAGTTATCCTATATCGCATAGGTATGAAAATTGGGAACTTCTACAATCTACCAGATCAATGGCTCTAAAATGTAAAAACAAATCTAAAATTAGGACTTGTAACAAATTATTGTTTAGAAACATCCTGAAACTTGAACACATCCAATCTCATCACAGTTCAAGATTTAGCCCTGTGCTGGGTTCTGTTACAGTCCTCAAAAACCCAAGGTCATAAGGTCACTCAGAACCCCAAATTGCAGGTCATTTTGGAAGGAGTGGAGCATCTCATAGCACATATAGTGTATTGTTATTAATGTTAACAGAGATTAACATTCATCTATCCTTCTTATGACTTTTGACCCAAAATAAAAAGGACAATGGTGGCCTTTTATGACATTTTTATTCTATTCCCCTTTCCACCTCCTCCATTAAAGCATTTTCCTCTTTTTCACTATCCAATATTAAAAAGTCATTTACTACAATAAAGGGATTCAGTGATTTGGGAGTAACTTTGGTATAGTTTACACCCTCTAGACACCCCAGAACTCTGTTAATAATTTTCCTCCTATTAATTGTCTCATCAACTCACAGCTGGCTATGCTTTTTATTTCATTATGTTATTCATCAATCTAAAATAGAAATATAACAGAAAAAGAAATTGGAAAGGAGCAATTTCAATGTTTCGAAACAGATGCAAATCAACGCCAGAGATGCTACACAGCATATTTTTATTGAGACAATTCTATACATGTCTGAAAAATGAACTTGTAATAAATAAACTCATATCCTGTGGAGGTATGTTTTTTCTTTCCATCTTACGAGCTAATTATGCCAACACAGCCTAACGTTTTCCTAAATGCCTTATAAACTGACCCAGTTACTCAGAAAGTATTATTTTTAAATTGATGTGATAGATGCAAACTGGAATGTTCGGATTTCAATTCTGGCACCAATTCCCGGATCCCCTTCCCAAGTAATTTAAGGACTTCCTCCCGATAGTTTTTCATATTCTTTTAACTGACATTTTATCTTTATACAGTATCTCAGCAGAATGAACATGCACTAAAACAATGACAGCCCTTCTTTGGCTGTCATCTCTCATTCTGGCAAAGACAGATGTCTTACACTGGCTTATGCCAATAATAGAGCCGACAAAAAACAACAGAGACTACCTGCCTCTGATGTAAAGGCACCAATTCACATTTGTGACACTCATTTGTCAATTAACAGATTTCTTCCATTGTTGACACATGGGACTTAAAAGATGTGGGCTAGAATGTGATGAATTAAAAAAGACAGATGAGTAAGCTATGAGCTGCAAAGTAATACTATAATGTGCTTTAGATAGGAATATCAACTGACACCCCTGACAGGCCATACAAGGTTTTATTTCATTTTGCACTGTATCTAGGCTTCATACTTTGTCTTCTTTGTTCTCTTTTCATCAAGCTCCTAACATCTCATTCTGACAGCCAGAGACATTTAAGGCACTTTCGTTTCAAATGCAAGTTAGCGTACTTGATTTGTCATTAAAATGCAAAACGATTGCCATTGCAGGTAAATGTAGGTATGCTTAAAAGGTTGTATCTGCAAAGTAAAAGCTGAAAATGGTTTCTGGCTGCTTTGCTTAACTCTTTCACCTGCCTCAGAGTTTTTCTAAGGCAAGTATTACTGTTCTCTAATAGAAGTGTAGCAGCACCTGCAGTTTCATTCAGGGTGCATTTTAGTATATTTAAATAACATAAAAGCTTTAAGTTACAATGTCAAATGCAGAGAACTACTGTCAAATTTACACATTGGGCCTTAGTATGATTTACACAAGAATCTGAAAAGAGTCTATCACTCAAAGCCTTCTGGGGTCAAAGCTCTCTACTCTTATGCATTCTGTTAGCTAGACAGTGAGTAAAAAGCTTTTTTTTGTTGTTGTTTATTTTTAATAGACTAGTGGTTGGTTTAGCTGAAATCATCAGTGAGAAGATTTTAACATCAAATCACTGCTTCTGTTCAATGACCACTTAATGAGACATGAAGGCCTTAATATAAATAAAAGACACTGTAGCACAAAGCAGATTTAAAAACGTCGCAGAAAAATATACCTGCACAGGATAGAAATGAGGAACACCTAGCTTTCTACATACACACAGCAATGTGAATTCACAACATGAATTAAGTTAGTTCCATTCAACTGAATATAACCAAACTTCAAGGATCCCACTTATGTTCAGCAAACAACCACTAGGGAAAGGAAACGTCTGAACAGAGTAAGTTCAGGTATTGTTTGGTTTTAGGAACTTACAGATGAACCCTTACCGTAAGTCCATACCTACATATCTTTTTTGTTGCAGACTATCTTGTGTGTTTTTACTAGTTTAAAAAAAAAAAAAAAAAAGGCTGGGAATAGATTATAAGAATTTTCATTCAAGAATGAGTCTTGTGTGGAAATCTGCAGTCAAGAAATCATTTGGGAACTCTGATTTAAATTATGACTTCATAGTACAGTAAACAAGAGATATAGAACCCAGGACTCTCGATGCTTCTGTATATACAGCAAAGCTTACTGACCAGTTCTGACACTACTCTGGCCACTAGTAACATGCATCTAGTACAACATAGGAATTATTTATTCGTTCCAAGTTAAAGAATAATAAGCTATGCTGTAAATACAAGTACCAACTTGATCACTACCAGCTATCCCGAAGGGTTTGTAGTTCTACTCTTTCCTCCCACAGTTTTAATTGCTTCCATTGCACGCCTGTCTACACAGAAAAGGCACAATGAAAATAAAGTGCAGAATGGTACCTTAAAGCTGACTTCACCCTTTTACTTTGGCTTTAAACCCTAGGGGTAGACTAACCAAGATCATTGTCTGCTGTACTATAACACACAAATAAATACTTGCCCGTTACATTTAGTTCAATACAGGCACATATCTGCTCTGCTTTCATTTACTGATTAGTAGAAAGTGCGACATATGATGGCCAAAAAGAATCCAGAGTAATGCATTAGTCCCCAGTTTAACTTCTGAAACTTCTTTTCTTTTGGTCAGTCATTTAAGTGCAGGTGAAGCTCTTGTTTCAAAATACCTGTGGTTCCAGTGACCAGAGTTTGTGCACCTGGTAGAACTGCAACTAATGCTACAAAGGAACAGCTCAGCTTGTTAATGCTTAATCACAATTACGAGCAAAATCATGAACAAAATAGAGTATTTCAGGGGAAGCAGTATCATCTTGTCGTACTGCACCCAAATCTCCCAGACAGCAATAAAATACAGTAAGTCTACGGCACCTTCAGCAGCCTTCTCCTGATAAAAGAAGCTGAAGAAGAGAGGGAGAAACAAAGGAAAAGATGGAGGAAAAGAAGTAAACTGGACAGAGACACAGTCTCTCAGTTGGGTAGTTCCCATTTCTTAGAAAACATACTATTTGAACATGTTTTTTCCTAAAGCCATTCCAACTTAATCACCTTCACACATGACTGTTTCTGTGCTATTCCATAGTACTTCGCTGTACAAGATACAGAGTGTATTAAATGCAAGTTAATAGGTAGAAAAAGAAAGCATTCAGATCCTTGAGCAGCTGTAATTTTACCATCCAGACACTGGACTGTCAAATTATCTTAACGTAACTGTATTGGAACCAGAGTTTTCTGAATATTCATTAAACTGTTAATCCCTGGCACTTCCAGAATAACTCTCCCCTCATCCTTTAAGTGCTTTAAAATAATCAGTACATTTTATCACTTATGTAACTAGGTCAAGTTTTCATCCTTTCTCTCTAGCAAAAAGGTCTTGAAAGTCCTAGGGGCCTAAAGCACAGCATCTTCATCCAGTGCTGATGCAGCCACATGGCCTTGCAATGTCATGATACCGCAGCAGGTCTTGGATCCTTTACATGTAAATGGTTTGAGGACAACTTTTATATATGATCGCCATGTGCTTTAAGAGATGCATTTCTGATTAGTATAAAATACCTAGCATTTAGCATATGACCAAAAATAAACGAACAAAAACTTCAAAACACTGTCGCCAAAATAAAATTTCACCCCTCTAGCCATATCTTGGTCATAAAAATCTGCTCTGTTACTCTAAATAGGTAACTGGATGCTTCCAAACAACTAAAAATGTACTTAGTCTTGAAATCTTGCAAAAAGGAAAAAATACTAACGATGAGTAAATATCTGAACTACTAACTAAAGAAGTAGTTTAAGTGACCACAAGTACGTGCTCCCCTTACAAAGAATACACATGCCTACTTTGATCTTCAAATCAATGGTTAGAAAATTTGCTTGAAGAAATTATTAAATGTAGGTAACATAGCTTTTCTGTAAAATTCATAAAATGAGTTCCTTGTTGGCACGTCTGATCACAGATTAATATTCTAAGGGAAAGGCACCTCACATTTCTGAAAGTAATTTAAAAACACTAAGCACTGAAGCCTTTTCATAGGATGTATTCACAACGAACTAACAGCACCCATTAGCCCAACAGCCAAATGGCAAAAGCAGAGTTGGCTTATAAAATATGAACCTTATTTTTAATATCATTAAGTACATTTTAACTAAACATAATCCACATCTTTTAACATTCAGCAAAGCAAGCATTAAAAACTAGTGCTTAATGCAAGTTCAGAAATTAAGGACTGAGCATTCACACTCCAAATTGTTGCATCAGTCCAATAACTACATTATATAAAAATGAACAACCTGACAGAACTGAGCACATAAGCTTCATATTGATAAAAAGCCACCCTTTTATAATCCCTTTATTAGTTTTACCTCCCTCCCCCCCCCCAAAAAAAATAAAATAGTTTGGAGTTGACTAGTAATAAGACAAATATTCTCATTCTAGTCTTCAGTATAACAATATTGACAGACCAAGAGCCTGACTCTTACCAAGTCCAAATACTGTGAGTTTGCACCTATGCCAAACAGTACATCCTATGAGATATGCATCTCATGGAGTAAAAACACCATGCTGATGTAGCTTTCCTCCTATCAGCCTCAGTAAGAGCTGATGCCAAGACCAATATTGAATACTTCTGAAAGTTTATGGAGAAGGGAGAGGAAAAAGGAGGAGGGAGTTTAAAAATAACACCACAAGAACATAGGCAGTTTTGGATAAAGAAATCACAGGGGAAATAGATATTTGTAATTTCTTGAGTCACTTAAGTACTTTTCACTGAGATTGCTTCCATTTTATTCTAATTCTCTCCAGTCAGTTCTCTCTCCCATCACCCACTTTTGATGTTTCGCATCTTTTTCTGTTAGCAAACTTAAATACATTTTTTCTATGTTAAGTATAAAAATGTTATCGCTGACAAAGCCTTATTTCAAGCACTAAATCTAAGTAGATCAAATACTAAATATCACCCCCCATTTTTTATGTATTAAAGATAAAACATAATATACATGCATTATATACAAAGGCATTGTAAAGATGTTATATAGAAGACACTGTTTTGCATGTGTGCTTATGTGTATATAATGCCAGTAAACTACTTCTGATGACAGCATCCCCCACACGCTATGCTTTCAATGGAAAAAAAATGGAGGTGTGCACACCTACCAGTACAGCTTATATACCAGCTGCATAAGAGAAAACACTGGAGACTTCAGCACTTGAAGAGAATCTATTCCACAGTACAGTCCAATGATCAAGGCATTATCAACTCCCCTGAGTTTTGGATAGGTTATAAATTATTATCCAACATTAGATATTTTGTATTTCTGATTTATGTTCTTTTAAATGTGATCTCTATATTCTTTCAACAAAGCAAACATGAGCAATGAGTTGTTTAAAAAGGAACAAGCTCATGACCATATTATGAAGCATATTCACAGCTTCCATTTATGGACTCAATGGACAAATTAAGATAAAAATGGAGAACAAATTATAAAGAAAGAAAATGACAGTCAACAGATCTTCCAACTCTCCAGTAAGCAACTCACTGATCATGAAGTAAGCATGATCAAGGAGAAAGAAAGACAATAAAAAACAACAAATAAAATAATAAAAATCACAAAACTTCACATGACTGCCAGCTTCAGTTCATAGTAAAAGCCTGGAACTGAGCTCTAACACTGCATTAACTATGACCTTAAAGACAGTATAATTATTGTTTAACATGTCTAGTTTGACATGCTTGCTCCTTACCCTGAGTAAAATGCATGGCCCTTTTGCACTTCTATGATACTCATTCTTCACACTTCCACCAGCTAAGGGTTTGCGGTTGTCTTTTTAAACTGAAAAATCAACTCCAAAATAACTTATGTAAAGATGATTCATGTAAAATTAAAGACCTCAAAAATGGCACAAACCACACAAGACAACATACAGCAAACAAGCAATACATAAACAGAAACATCAGACAGATTTTTTGTGCCAAATGCCAACCAACTACTTGTAACATTATCACTCAGCAGGCTTCTTGAATACTGGGGGACAGAGGCCTTTCTAACTAAGTAATGGTTAGCAAAACCAATTAAGTTCTTCGTATCTGCAGTTAGACACTGGGAATCTCATGTATTGCATCAAAGACAACAGAAGATACCTTTCAACAAAACAGAGAGGAAGAGACAGAGACAATAGCTTCAGAGTTAATGCAGGTTCTTCCTTTCAGTCAAGCTCCTTGTCCTCAGATAAGTTATTTCTGCAGTCCTTGGCTCTTGTTTCACAACAGCAGTCATGAGGAAATACTGTTTTAGAGTAAGAGAGATTAGGAAAGTCAGAAAATAAGAATGCTCCACCTGATTATTTCACCTATAACATGCTCTTTATATGCCCTTTTCTTTAACTCCCAATACTGTGTAAAAAAAGAGTAGTTCCCAGTCTCAAAATCCACATAACCAGAAATTATGCAGGGGGAAGTCACCAAACCATTACTTGCACTCTTCCAACAAACATTATTTGAAAACTAAAACAAGTTCATCAAGTTATTTTTCCTCCAAACGCCAATATTTTTCCATATATTACAGTAGTTTTCCATTGACTAATTAACTGATTTTCTCAGTCCAATACCAGATTCCTGCCATTCAGAGAGAAACTTAAAAAAAAACAAAAACCTTTTTTCTTTAAGATTGGTTACAGTTCTCACAACAGGAGACAAAATGACTGTTCCAGTGAATTAAGCCCTCCAGGTTTCCAAACAGTAAGCACGAAACACACGGATTTAGCCTCCAACGTCATTCCAAAAACCCACTTCAATTTCATGACCAAGAGAAAGCAGTTCACTCCCCACTCATTCAAAGGAAGTTATATAATATCAATATCAGTTCACCAGGAATGATGTATTACAGTCAAAAAGATTTATGAACAACTTTGAGTCAATGGATACCTACTATGACACCCCATCTTAGTTCAGGTACAAGGACTTCATTACTCACCTTTATCAAGTAGATTCAGATATATCAGATTTCATCTTTTCTCATGATTGCAACAGCCCCATGGAGATGGATGTCACCAAGAAAGCAAATTTCAACACCCACCACATTAGTATTCACTAGCTACATTTAAAGATCTAACAGTTCAAGCTCACAACTTTATTTTACTTAACATCAAATTCTGCAGTATGTTTAACATTTTTACCAGATTTAAACGCTCCAGTAATCCCTCCCAATAATTCTCTACTACACAATATGAACACACACTGACACCCCCCAAAGGTTCAAGTAACAAGCTTTTGCCCAATTCTGCCATGTGATATATTCTCAGGACAACTCTTTCCACAATGTTAAGCCTTCTTGAGAAAAGCAGAACAGAATACAATCTTATGTTCTGATCTGTCAGATATAGTAAATCAATGGATAATGGCCAGCACTGGGGGTCAGAGGTATATATACTACAGTGTTTTCACAGTCTGTTAGTGACTATGTGGCCATAAAAAGTCAAGCAAGGATCAATGGACAGAAAGAGAGGCTGTTGGGACTACAGAAGATAAAAACCACCAGTACAAAATTGAAATAAAACAATTTATAATCTAAGTTTTGCCTCTACATATCAGCAAGTCTGGAAAACTAACTTATCCATCAAAACAAAACCCCTTACATCCTATGCACAGTGTACAAAAATCAAACTCAGGTATTTAAATGCATACCATAAGCCACGAACTTGATATTTTTAAAATTGGTTCATTCACTCATCCCCCTCATATCAACAAAAAAACAAGGACAACAAAAAAGACAGCAGGAAAATACACAAGCCACAAAAACATACACAGAAAATATTCTGAAACGGCAAATGTTCCATACTTACATTTAAAGCTGACAAAGTAACAGAACACAGGCACGGCTACTGCATGAGAGACAAAGTAAATCTTAATAGTATTTTTTATTATTATTCAAAGTTTTCAAATGCTAAAAAAAAAGTTTTCCTGATACATTACCCAGATCACATCTGGTTCCTGTTGAAATGTTACTTTTCAAAAGGGAAGGCGTGGCGTGAGGGTAAAGGAGAGGAAGAGAGAGTAAGGAGTGCATTTAGCTTTAATTATTGTAGTTTGATCAGCTACCCAAAACAGAAATACTATTTGAAATGTAAAATATTTTTTTTACTGGTAATACTCTCCCTACATTTTTGCACCTATAAAACTTTATCTTATACAACTCCTAAGGTTTTACTCATATATAAATACATCATCACATTTGTCTCAGTTTGTCCAGTAGGATACAACTATTTAATAATTATTTTAATAAAAAGATAATTATGCATAACATAGTCCATACCGATTAATAAACATGTAAGACTTCATCTGAAAGACTAAGTCTATAAATTTTAAATAATTTAAATGACTCCTTGTATATAAATATTCCATTTAGCAAATTGATTTTCAAATGGATTGATTCTAAAGAGTGCTGGTGTACATTCATTTTCTGACATTCCTAACATTTCAATATTACTCAAAATATAGAGCATCATGTGCTTTACAGTAGGACACCCCTAACAGGCAAACTCTAAGTATCCACCTCTTGAACTACAAACCTACTCATTACCTCAGTAGCAAAACATCAAGAAATCATATATTTCAGATTGCTTAGCTGCAGCAAATGCTCTCTCTTCATTGACATGTCTAGATACAATTCCATTTACCTTGAAACAATAAACTAGATCGAGTACAGAACTCGTGCACATTTGTAAACCACACCCTGTTTCCTTGCATGAAGAAAAAAATTCCAGTTTAAAAAAAATGCAAAATCTTCAGTACTTAAACATATTAATTCTCTTTTCTTATAGTAAAATGTGGTCATGCTTGAAAAAAAAGAAAAAAAAAAGGAGAGTGAAACAGATTAACAGCATAGCTCCAATACTCTTATTTCAGACAACATACTATAAATCATCTTGAAACAAAACAGGCAATTATAATGTGCACAAACATTATGATACTATGCATCTATACTGGTCCGATGGTTCTGAATTATTGAAACTGATGGCTGAACAAGAGCATATTGTTTCAACACACTTGGATTACTTGAACAATTTCAATTCTTTCTTTAGCTATCCAGTGCTGTGCAGACCTCTCTAATGTCAATAAGTAAATAAATAAACAAAAAGATATTGATGTCTTTTAGATAATTCAGGCCACATTTAAGCAGATTAAAATACATGGCAAAAATTTCTGTAGCAATGTATTTTTCTTGTGAAGAAAAATAGCCTTTTTTCCCTCAATACTCTAAGAATTATCTAAAATTAAAGCAAGTACATACATTTTCCTTCAGAGCATTCAGTGAGAACAGAACAGCAGCTCCTTTTTTCCTTCTAACGACTACCCCATATTTCAATCCTCTTCACCTCAGTATAAAAGAAACTGAAGTGAGAGCCATAAGACAGAATCATTTCAAAACACAATCAGCTATTTGTAAACAATACACTTTCTCCTTGCAGAAAATCCACAACTGCTAGTTGCAAGAAGCAGCAGCAAGTAAGGTAAATCAATTAGCTTGCTAATTTCTCACCCTCATTTATTTAGCTCTGCACTGTATTTGTCGTAATTGACTATAATTATGTTAATTACTAACTCCAGCATAATTACTATATTTATTGTCATTGAGCACACTATGTACCCAAAGCAAAGCTGGCATTTGTCGGGCATCAAAAAAATAAATAAATAAAACCACACCAATGTCAGGAGGGGTTGCTCTGAAAACTGGCTGATATACCTTCAACAAATGAAAGGGCAAAAGAGATTTCATGCAATGCTAGTTTGAAAGCATCGGTTCATTAAGGATATTAATTTTCTGATAACTACACATTTAAGCATGACACACTGGAGCAGTATCTACAGGATTTAGCAATTATTAATGCGTGACAGTTTCAAATGCTAAGTGAATCAATTAAACAGCAGCATTCACAATTTGAGAAGAGATAACTGCTTCATAACTGCCTAAGACTACAATTTTCACATGACAAAAAAGGGCCATTCAGGCTCCTTCAAAACCTGACAGGTCAAGAAAGAAGTTTGAAACAAAAGCACCTTATAACCATCATCTCTCCTCTTTACTTGTCAGATCAACTTTGCTAGTGTCTCCGCTGAAATGGCATCACCATGCCAGCTGCCACAAGGTGATTTTTCATGTCTTGTCAAAGAAATCTTTTATTCTATTTGCTCTGCATTAACATGTTACATTTATTGATCAAGCCCTTTCTGCAGCCACAGCAGGGCACTGTGCTCTTATGCCTAAGGGGGCTTTGATGTCCTGGTGACATTCTAGACCGAATAATGCACATACTAAATGGATTTAATGCAGAAATGTGTTTGTGCATGACAGCTACATTAATAACAGCCCCTCACACTGATAAATATGCAATTGCTACGATTAAGAGTTACCCAATTATGGTGAAAATATTTTTCTACCTTATAAATAAAACCATCAAAAAGTTTTAACAATAGTGCATTTTCTTCAACATTTTAAAATGCTATAAAGATCAGTCTAAAGGCTTTTAAAAATATGTCATGCTTTGTTTTGAATTCTGGCTTTTATTTCCATCTCCCTTTTGTTGTTCATCTTCCTGTTCTGTGTGCCTTACTGCTGTACAGACTGGGAAGGTAGCAAGAAAAAAAAAGCCTCTTTCGCATACTCAACTCAGCAAGGAAAACACACCCTACAAAACTGAAGCCCAGTTTCAGGCTGCCACTTGCCTGTTTCCCCAGGCAAGAAAACAGTAAACAGAAGATAGAAATAAACAATCTCTAGTCCACAGAGAGGATACTACAAAGCCTCAGCCTCACAAAAGTCGTGGAGGAACATTCCAGACTAGGATTAAAGTTCAAGGGGATGTTTTCATACATAGACCCTCTTAATCGGACGGTGGAAAATATGCACAAGCACACACTGTGCAAATTATTCATGCTCCTAGCAGAAATAATCTGCACCCTAGAGAGAGGGAAGAGATATCTGTATCTCCCTGAGCACAATTATTGGATTAATCCTCCCTCATTGGCCAAGATAAAAGATTCACTCTCCCTTCTGTCTCACAGTTTAGAGCCCGAAGAAATCTCTGTAAGAAAAAGAAAAATAGTCCACGTTTAAAAACACAAAAATAGAAGTGGACTTCTCAGTGAACGAAACAGTAGATGTTATTTATAAAGCATGGCACCTATTTTTGCAATAACACTGACATCTGTTATTCAGGCACTGGAGTGCACTTAGCCTTTAATGTGAAGGGAGATATTTAGCACAAAGAAAGTTATCCAGAACAAATAAAAGAACCTTTGAATAACTTCTTCCTCTTGCCACAAAATAGCAATTTGTGTCTAGCAAAAGTATCTTTGTATTTTACCCAAGCCTCTCCTTCCTAACTATGTTACATCCTTGCTTACGTGCTTATTCCTTTCTTTCCTTCACCAATAATTATTATTTACCTTTTTCCAATGAAATCTTTAACTTCTAGTGATCAACAACAGTTTTCCATTCACCCTTGAAATCCTTTTCAGCAAAGCTTCCCAGCAACACTAACACTGGTACATCAGTGACTTTTCCTTCCTGTACTCCATTCTTTCATTAGATAACAAACTGGGAACTGGGGAATAGCTTTCCACGTATTAAAGAAAAAAAAAAAAAAAGTGGCCTTTACAGTACTCTATTACCAGTGAAGACTATCATATACAGTTACTATGAAAGACTCAGAACTCGGTTTTCAAAACAAAACATCTCTGCTGCTGAAACATGCCTTATTTACAATACATAGTACAAATAGTTCATTTCTGAAATAGCTGAAAATCACTACCAATATCAACCAAAACAGCTGCTCTAACTCTGGCTATTTTACTACAGACAATCACACCAGTAGGGTTGCAGAATCAGATCACAGTTTAGGTCAGAATGGGTATCTACAGCTCGTTTAGTCCAATCCCCTGCTCAAAGGAGGGCAACTTCAAAGTTAGATCAGGTTGCTTGGGGCTTTGTCCAGTTGCACTTGGAATATCACCCAGGGAGGAGGGATCCACAGCCTTTCTGTGTACCTCTTCCACTCAACTTTTCTCATTGTGAAGTTTTTCCTTATATGTAGTTGGAAATTCCCTGTGACGACTGCCTCTCATCCTTTTGCTGTACACCTCTGACAAGAGCTTGGCTCCATCTTCTTCACGACCCCCCATTAGTCCAAACACAGAAGACATTATAAACTGTTTAAACAAAATCTGCAAAGAAAACAGCATAAGAAGAAATAATTCACAAGTGGATAGCAGTGGTCTGGAGTTGAAGGATTTCAGTCCACCAGAGGCGTGAACAGGATAGAGAATACAGTGGTACCACATCTTGCTGATTACAGCTACCATGCTTTGAAATACACACCATTTTTTGTGCTTCATACACAACTGTCACTCCTCCTTTTTCCCCACCCTCCCCATAGAAAGTTCCCTTTTGCAATTCACCTCTCCTATCCTTCCTTTCCCTTCTGGTCAGAAGAGGAAATGAGTAACCATTGTTAAGATGTAATGGTCACTTGACTTGGGCTGCCAGAAGTGAGAGAGATGAATCCATGTATCAGCCAGGGTAATCAAGAGCCGAGACCAATTCTTAGAAAAAGGCAAACAAGGAAGACAAGAATTCTTTTAAAGAGCAACTATTTGTGAGTATTTAATCAAGTGTCGTTAGCCTTACCACATCTGGTACAAAGAAAATTTAGTGTCTACGTAGGCCCTAATTTGTATTTAATAAAGAAGAGGAAAGAACCTGGACAGAACTCTAAGGTCAGAAAAATATGGTGAATAATATATTTTTCTCCATATACATTTGCCAATACAAAAGCACCAACCCTATCCCCCTCCAATTTAGTTCTCTGTTTTTGTGCACGTTTATGTGTTTATGTAACACACAGAAAGAGAAATGGCAGAAATCTGAGGAGAAAACCACCACACATGAAAACACTGAATCCAGATAATTACTCTTCACTGCAGAAAAAAAGACAGAAGTGCCATCACAACCAATAAAAAATTACATGATATCCTTAACTTCTAAAAAATCATTATCTAAATATGTATCAGCTCAACAAGCTAAAAAAAAAAAAAAAAAAGAGGCGGGGGTGGGTGGTGGTAAACAAGCAACTCCATGCTTTGTTCATAACAGCAGGTTAGTATGTTCCAGAAATACAAAACAGCATCTATTGAATGAATATCTATGTTATTAAGTGACAAATTTAGCACAAGTTGTTTGAGTGTAAAACAAGTCATAAAGCATAGCACATTTGACTAATTCCTTCCTACTTCCCTATACAGTATTAGCCAATCTTCCTATGCGTTTTCCAGTATACCTGGACAAGCCTCTGAAAACACACGTTTTGTTTTTTGTTGTTGTTGTTTGTTTGTTTTTGACAAAAACAAATGCCATAAATGGCAAAATAACTTACCTGGCTCTATCCTGACTTTTGCAATCAAGTTACCTGCATTATCACAGTATAAAAAGCACTGTAAGTCATTAAATTGATTGTTTAATCAAGTATAATATTATAAATTACATTCATCATATCAGTTGTATAAGAAAGTTTTGTGACACCTGTATCATGCACTAGAAAGTAGTATTTCTGACAAGAGTCTTAAGTGCACAAGCATGCATGTGCACACAGTAAAGACTGTAAATCGACAACTGCACAGGATTCTGGATTTGAATGGAGAGTGCTATCTTGCAAGAAGCATCTGCTGCCAACTGATCAAAAAGCCGAACACATTACTACAATGGATCTCTCTTTCTCTGTACACAACACCACCTATGACAGCAATGTTAAATAACACGACTACAAATACTGGTGCCCACAAAACAAAGTGTCCCTCCACACTCAATTTCTAAAACTGATCATTTAATTGTTGTCAGAATTTCTATTAATACTTATGTTACACGATATATTGTCTGGTACAAGAGGATGGTTCCTTCCCAAAATACACTCAGGAGTAGCCATACTTACAGAGGATAGGAGAAACCCTATATAAAAACAACACAGAAAAGTTTGGTAAGTACTTACATCCTGACACTGAGGTTACTAGTAAGCATTTTAGCATCTCTCTGACTCAGATATTAGTTTTCAGATTAATGACCACTAAAATAGCCTTTTGCTTTCAAAAACACATGCTTAGATCTAATATGAATCATTATAGTGAAAACTGACATCTTTACTACAAAGAACTTTTTCCCTCCCCTTCAAACAAGCTCAGATTAATTTGCATTTCCAAGAAGAGTGCAGCAGAATCGTGAATGTAATCTGGTACCTGCACAAGACAACCTGTAAACCTCCTCATTTGCTGGCTAGACTTAACAGCCCAAGTTCAGGGAATGTTGAGCTGACAGTTTTGCAGGAGGCACTCCTCAGAAACATGTACGATCAGCAACAGCTTCAAGAGACACGTGCATCCTGTTAATCAACACTTCAAAACCAGCACTGAATGTTCCCCTTTTTGTTAAAGGGGTATTCAAGTTAAAAAAAAAATAGTATCAAACACATATGAAAAGCTTACAGAATACCACTGACTTCAGCCGGAGTTGAAGATAGTCTTACAGATAATCTTACAGGTCTGACCCAATTTCACTTACATCCAGTGGAGTTCATTTAAAATACCTTAGTCATGAAATAAAATACTATCACAAGTGTCTCAAGTAACAAATCCACTTCCTGTCTTCTTTCTAGCCTCTAAGCGCTATGTCCAAATACAACAGCTGATATGCTTATTTCTAGAACTTAAACTTCCCCCCAATAAATCCTAACAAATGGAGGATTCACAGCCACTACCATACACCTTCTTCCATAGCACAGCAATCCAAAGGCAGCCATCAAAAGTTCCTACACATTGTGTATACTCAAAGGATGACTAGCTAAATTCCTTACTATTAGCATATTGTATTAATGCCAGCAAAGCACAATATCATTTTCATATGTGGTAGGAGTGATGATCATCTGTCTTCTTCAATCAACTTATACCTTTGACGACAGAAATTTGTTGTAGAAAGTCAAACTCCTTTTTAAGAGTTAAGATTAAGAAAACATTAATACCCATGTAACATTCATATGAGCTTCTCCAAAATAAGCTTTAAAAAAGAAAAAGCCTCCCTTCCCCAAACCTTTTTTTTTTTTCTTTCCAAGGGATAGTACCTCCAGAAAGGAAAGAGTAGTCTTGTTGACATGTTAAATCTTAATACACATGCAGAACTTGAATTATCTTTGTAATAAAAAGAAAAAATGTCAATTCCAGCTCCCCTCTTCCCCAAAATTCTCTCGTTTAATCACAATTTCCATAGGTACACAGTCATCAGCCAGACATAAGATAAATCTAAGATAATGGCAATCCACAGATTAAGTGCCTCTTTTGCTCTGCTACCTCCTGCATACAGGAATCAGTCTTTCAGAGTTTACAGTTGCTCAACATAACATTTATTCGTATTACGCAAGATAAAAACCAGTGACTGTTCTCCCTAGGAGAACCAGACACTAGCATATTACTTTTATGTGACTCATTCTTCACTAGTAGACTCTGGACTTACCCTCAATGAAATAAAAGGAATAAGTTAAGAATCCTCTGCTCTAATGCTAAGAAAGCTACACTTTTTCTAAAATATATTACTACATGCCACTCCTTTCTCCCTTAGTTACCTACAGAGTTCCAAATCTGAAAGGCACACTGCTGAACCTCACCAGGCTTCTCACACAATGATTAAATGAAAATGGATACTGCTTAGAATTTCTGTAATGACTAATGGGAATAGTATAGAATTCAAAATCAATCCATATGTTAAAATAATTTAGAATTTATATATAAACTCTAACTGCACTTAGCTGTAGCACTTAACTATACAGCTGCACAAAATAAAATCATATAATAAAAACACATCATCTGGGAAAAGAGTATTACAAACCATTTACAGTAATAACCAGAGATCTACAAATAAAAAAGGAAAGGAAATAAGCACACGCTTACTTGTTTTTTTGTTTTAGGAAAATTCATGTTTGATCCCATTCTTCACTTCTTCAGGTAATGTTGTTTATCTTCCATTTTGAGCAGAGAACTAACTGTAAGCTCCACACTGGCATCATTTGCATTAACACCAGAAATTTACACTCACCTGGTTGCTTGTGTTCCAAAAGTAAAAGAAAAGGAGACAAGCATTGTCTATAAAACAGTATCACCCACTTGACAACAACTGTGTTTTTATTTTGAGAAAAACAAATAAATATTATGGTTTTGGAGCTGGTGAGCCAAACTGCACTTAAAAAATCTATACATTACAACATACCTTAACAAGTTGAAGCTAAGATCTAGTCTTTTTGCCATATGTCCGTATTTTCTTCCCAGAAATTCTGGAATTTCTTCACAGTCTTGACTAATGTAGGACACCTGAGAATTAGAAGCAAAAAGGAAGCATTCCGTAAGTGGATTATTTACAGTTTCCTGTCCAGATTCTGCCTCATTGATCCAACGACAACACACAGTATAATAAACATTCATTACAGCTTTGAGCTTCTTCTGTTTCACTGCTAAAGAATCTATCACAGTCTCATTTTTCTATCAATACAGTCAGCTTAATACTTAACACATGCATAGCCCTACGTACAACACAGCAGAATTTTCTTATTTCAGATAAAAATTATTTTACAATTGCATTTATTCCGTTAAGTCATAAGTATCATACTCCATCCCACTATTAATACTTTGATCTAACATTACTTTGGATTACCCTTCTGAGCACCCTAAAAGAAAAATTCGTGAAACATCAGCAGACTTTCAAAGTACTCTTTAGTTTGCCTCTCATATGCAAAACACTTAGAGATCACTTCAGAAAGTTTCATCCAGAAACACCTAAGCAATGTGCCGTCAATCCACTTTCACAGCAGTTCCTTGGGGAGATTATTATTTTCAGAGGTATGCTAGGGACAGGGCAGGAAAGCTGCTTAAGATCTGAGAAATCAAGCATGCAGCTTTGTTTGGACAGTGGTGCAAGTCTTAAAGGTTTTTGGCTTCAACACCTATGTTCAGGTTACACTCCTCGTTATACCCAAAATATTTGTGAATGTGTTTCCTTCTTTCCATAGCTGTTTATCTGACCCACCTTTAACAAAGAGAGGAAGAATTAGAGATAGAAAAAAATAAAATATGTACTCATATTTCTTTTTAGCAGTGTTGATGTAATTGATGATATTTAAAAAAAAAAAAAAACACAAAACTTCACATATTCTGTCTGATATATCATCTTGGAAGTCTGGCTTAATTTCTTAAAAGAATCCCCACAAATCGTGTCAAACATACTGTCATACATGTATTGTCTGTATTGACTCACCCAACACCAACACTTCAGATTCTGTGCTAAAGGAACACTGGTTGTCCTTAGATGGCAACCTGCTAGGCAGATGGATTTCAACGCTCTGTTACACTACTACCTAGGAGATACAGCTGTTACCTCCATGTTGAATGCATATTTGCTATCATACACCACTGGTGTTCACACACTACAGGGTGTTAGGTAAAAAAATACACCACAGGGTCAAACTGTTTAGATACTACTTCATTTTTTGCTGAGTAGAGACTCTGCAGAACAGACTAATAGTCTGTACTTTTGAAAATCATCCCTGTTTCTTACACTCTGAAAATGATTGCAATCTGATACTACAGTACTGCATCAAATTTAATTCACTTCGTTCAATACCTTAAGCAAACAAAACTGACTACAGTGATATTTTTTTTATGAGCAGAAAGCAGGCAGCTTGAAGTTCCGTTTAACATTATCTTCCCTCTTAAACCATCCCTGCTCTTATCATATATAATATATATATATTCTGCTACTAGACATACACATGACTTCAGTGAGCGTAAGGACAAAAGGGAAATGAACAGTTCTGGGTAGTTCACATCCTAATGGTTCGGGCATAACAGCAAGTGTCTTTGAGAATTCATTGACTTAAACATGCCTCACACCCTCTCTCTATATATTGACCCACTAGTTTTCATCCAAGAGAACCACAAAATATTTTACAGTATACATATGAGTACACAAACAAGTATCGCCTCATTCTTCGCTGAAAAGTAGATTTCTATAAACTAGCGCCTGCAAACCCTTGGAGAGACACCCCTTTACTAGTAAAATAATTCTTTGGATTAAACAGTCATTCTGTACAACACGCTGTAAAGGACATAACTAAAATATGATGCCCATTAACATTAGGATTGGAAAATGATGTTGCACAGCTAGAGAGACTGCAGGAACACGGGCCACCACTGCTCTTCTCACCCACAGGGATCAAGGGTGGAAAAGTAGCAAAAGATTCTGACCTACATTGCCACTGCTCCAGAAACTTAACTGGCCTCAACTGCCCTAGCTCCACAAGAACAGAAGTTGAGGAAGAAAGCTCATACAAATGTGTTTTTTGGGGCACACAGAAAGCAAAATACTTAAGATATTGTAAAGTTTCAGCCTCTGAACTGGTAAAATATACAAAAATATTTTCACAACTGGTACAAACAGGTTATTCATAGATGTATTTGCAGGTGAAACATGGTTATCATGACCTTTTAATGCTAAGGGCCTCGTGAAAGGAAATTTACTTGCACAAAGTCTACTTCAGCTCATTCAATATACAAGTGCCATTTTGAATTTTAAACAGATTTATTTTCCCACAAAATACAAGGTACGCTTGCTTCCGATCTCTGCACCCCACATACACAAACTTGCCTCAGATACACAAGAGCTCTCTTCAGCGGCTGCCAGATCACCAGCCATGCAATGCACAATAAGCCTTTTTAAACAAGTTTTCAAGAGTATTCTTTCCTCACTCGTCTGCTCTTTAATCTTTGAACAATGCTGATATAAAACAAGGCTTCAGTAGTCTGGACAAGTTGCGAATAATGTTTCTTCATTTGTAGTCATTTGATTAAAAATAATTTTCCCTGCAAACAATAAGAAGTACACAATCTGGTACTCCTCCTTTGGCATCCATCTCAAATACCCTCAAAACAAGGATGAGCTTTCAAGTGCGTATCCAGAGATGCCACCAATGAGAGAGGAGACCAAAGCTACCGTGCCCAGGATGACTCCACTCATCGGTACCAGGCACATGAGTAACGGCAGGTTTCTCAGCTTTTCTACGCCCATTGCAGGACATCCCATGGGATTAGAAGTAGATGTAGATGTCTACATTGCCTAATTCTCCAGACTGAATGCAGGCTGGTCATAATCAAGCACTTATATTACTGGTGCCCAGCTCAATATCCCACAGAAACGTTCAGGAACTCTCTTACAGAACCCAGCAGAAGACCAGCTATGGGCAGCTCAGACACTCTTGCAGGCTTTTCAATGCACTGTGTACAATTCAGGAACAAACTATGTTTTTACAAAACGTTTAAAGCGTAAGTTAGTTTCAGTATCGGTTGCAACTCTCTTCTGCTTCAGCTTTGGGGGCAATGACCGCTTAATCTCTGTCACCACGTTAGAGTGGCCCTGGGATCTTAGTAATCCGTAAGGCAGCACCTTTCTCGGATGGTGCTGCAGGAGCTGTGGGCACGGCTCGCTGCCTCCCCCCGCGGGGAGCACACCTGGGGCACGTCCCCAGCCGGCCGCACCGCGCCATGTGCTGCCGGCGGGCGGGCCTCGACCCGCTCCCCGGGCGAGCCTGAGCCCCCAGCACGCTCACAGCGGCTCGGGCGGCCGGGCTGCCCCCCGGGAGCCCCGCACGCCTCCCCTCCTCCCACCGCGCCCCCCGGCGAGGCAGCCCCGGCCTGCCCGCAGCCCAGCCCGGCGGCCCCGCTGCCGCTGCCGCTGGCGGGGCGGAACGGGGCGGGGAGCAGCACGGTGCCGCCGGCAGGTGGGGCCGTGCCGGGCCGCGCACACTTACTTGTGCTCCGCTCACCACGACCCCTGCCATGGCCGGGGAGAAGGGGGCGGGAGGGCGAGGGGGGAGCGGCCGCAGCGGGGCTTCCGCAGTCACCGTGGCTCGGGGCCGGGCCGTGCGGGCGGTGCGGGCTGCCGGCCGCAGTCAGCTGACGGCGGCGGAAGCGCGGCCGGGCCGCGGCAGGGGGCGGCGGCCGCGCAGGGGCTCCCGCCGCGCCCCCGCCCCCGCCGCCATGGGCCGGGCCCCGGGGCTGAGCGAGGTGACCCCGGCGCTGGGCGCGGATTTATTTATTTGTCAGGTCGTGGGGAAAGCAGACCCTCGGAGCCAGCAGGAATACCGATCACAGCGCTCTTTCCGGGGTATTTTAATTGCTAATTAAAATAATGCCGTGATGGGAGGCTGCCGCTGATGAGGTGGAGTGGGGAAGGGGAAGGTTTTCCGTAAGAATGTTGCTCTTTGATGATACTCAGGTTTCTTCTGCTGGGATCCTAAGTGCTGTAAGTCATCTCCCTACCTCTTCGGCTGCCTAAGCACCTTTAAAAATCCCTCTTCTGTCCTCTCCGTTGCTAATACAGCGTAACTCGCGGAAAGCAGAGGCATGCTGTGAGGGGAAATAAGTTGCAGGAGGAGACGTGCTCTGCACTGCAACCCACTTCTACGGCTTATTCAGCACCGCAGCAGAAACTAACCCAGTACTTGCTCGGCCTCGTACTATCGACAGAACAAATTTATGGTACGACTGTGGCATTACGCTTCTTCCAGGGCCATCCTTGCCTTTGACTGCTGGGCAGGAAACACGGGGCTAAGAGCCCGGGGGAAAATAAATAAATAAATAAATAAAAACCACCACTGTGCACCCCCTGATATTTTAATGTATCGCATGAATGTAGAAAGAGGCCAACATGCAGAAGATCAAAACACAATCGGTGAACAAATGACTCCTTTCCTTCGCATAGATCTAATTTTCCTTACATACTAAAGACCAAGAAGAATCAAACCCTTCATCCGCAGCAAATAAGCAGATCCTACACTAATGAATAAAAGTTCTGTTTCTCTATGTAAGAGTTTTCCATCAAGGCGTACTTGCTAGTTCAGGTCATCACTCAGCATGCCTCAAACAATCAGGGCCTGTGTTTATTTATTAGATCATGTAGCAAATAACATACGCCAAGAAAAACAAGTGCTATGTGAACTGTAAATTTAAACAAAGCAATACAGTCTACTCTTCTGTATCTGCCTCTTTTTATCTCTCCTTTAGTTACAAGCATGCAATTCCCATCAGAACGAACAGATATAACTCAAGGCACAAAGTGGCCTCCTGATATAGTCAGCTGTGTTTGTCTTAATGGAGTAAAATCAGTTCAATACTATGCTCCTGTAAAATTGGAATAATTATATTGAAAACAATTTAGCACATCGTTATCCATATTATTAGTATTAATTTTAGTAGAGTGCTAGCTGTCACTTTAGAGAGATCTCTGAAGAAAGAAATCCTGCCTGAATAGTTTACCAAAT